ACCTGGTGTCTGAATAATTTTTGTTTTGACTATATATATATATATATATATATATAGTCAAACCAAAAATTATTCAGACACCAGGTATACATTTTTATTTTTTTTTTACTAGTGGGTGCAGGACACTATAGTTTATTTTGCTATCCTCACTTACATAAATGAAGTAAACTGTGACATATTATACCCCAAAATTCTTCATACAGTGGACTACCAGTAAAATTGATGAACATTTGGGACCAAAAATTATTCAGACACTTTGACCTGACCATGTTTTGGTCACTGTTATCTGACATTATCAAGATTAATTTGTTCTGAGTTCTTGTCATATTTTATTACAATTTTCTTTTTGGTTTGACTGTATGTGTGTGTGTGTGTGTTTGTGTCTAATGTCACTCTATATACAGTGGGTACAGAAAGTATTCAGACCCCCTTCAATTTTTCACTCTTTGTTATATTGCAGCCATTTGCTAAAATCATTTAAGTTATTTTTTTTTCCTCATTAATGTACACACAGCATCCCATATTGACAGAAAAACACAAATGGCTGCAATATAACAAAGAGTGAAAAATTGAAGGGGGTCTGAATACTTTCCGTACCCACTGTATATGTGACATTGCACACACACACACACACACACACATATATGTAGTCTTTTTTCTCAGAAGTATATCCAGCAAGTGTGAGTTTCCTTTTTTTTTCAGATTTTGTGAGATTCACCCTTGTAGATATTTCATATGAAATGTTATAGTGATTAGCAGTAATGCTAATCATTCATTATGTCATTCATGGACCTGTATTGTATTTGACAGAAGATGTGTTCTGAATGAGCTGTAATTGCTTGTTAATGCTGGTGTCGGTCGCAGCCGCAGCTGTAATGCTGCTGTGTGTTTGTCTGCAGAGCTTGTTAGGCATGACATGTAATGCGAGCAGGCAGGCTGTGGGCAATGGCAGTGCCCTTGCCATGGGAAATCATGTTCCATCTTGTTAGGGGAAGTTTGGACGCTTTGGCCTGTGAGGACCGCTAATAATCACCCAAGCAACTGTTATGTCTGCAGACGTCCACCTGCTTTACAGAGCCGGCCAGAAACACGCTTATTATGTTCGCACATGTGCCACTGTGGCCAGCTGAAGACACACGTGAACACTCACACATGATCACCTACAGTAACATAATTTGTCAACGAGTTATAAAAACATATCCAGGTCACATTGATTTCACCCTAAAATAAAAAAAAGACAAAGTGTGATATTATTTCCAAGACAAATCACATTTTCCCCCATTTTCTTTCTGTACACAATAAGACATCCTTAAACGCTCAGAAAAAAAGGTACAAAGCTGTCGTAGTAGGTAGTATCCTAAGGTACAACAGCTAAAAGCTACATCTCTGTGCCTCATGTATCCCTACATGGTACATGTTAGTTTACCTAAAGTGTACATATTAGTTCTTTTTTTTTTTAAGAGAGAGTAATGTTAATTTTACTCCCCAAATTCGGTCACATTTAATTTTAAGCTTCAGTTCTCAGTTAACTATTAACTCTGACTTTTCCCTCCATAAACTCCTAATCTGCCAGCAGTTCTCCACTGCCCAAAAGCAGACTGAGGCCATCAGGTACATCCTGCCTCGGCGTACAGCTGTTGCCGTCGCCGAGGGCGGCCCCCTGCCACTGCCCCTGCTCCCGCAAAGCTGTGCCTTGGAGCCGGTCGCAGGGCAGTCGCCCCACCTGTCCAGGCCCCCGCCAAACCTGGTGGCAAGCGAAAGAGCAAGAGGCCCTGAGATGGGCAACCCAGAGGTGGAGGGACCTGCTCTTCGGGAGATGGTGAACACACCACTCCCTCCCCCGGAGGAGGGCCGGGCGGAGAATCTTTTGTTTTTTGTTTTTTCCACCACTGACCTCTCGGTCAGTGGTACCCAAATACTCGACACAATCTCTGTGTCCCCAGAGGGCACGGGGGGTTGTGGACGATCAGCCCCTACTTCATTGTACCCAAGAAAGGCGGGTGGGTTAGGACCAATCTTGGACCTAAGTGTCTTGAACCGGGTCCTTTACCGGTTACCATTCAAGATGTTGAAGCAGGAACGCATCTTTGGGTGCATCCGTCCCCGAGATTGGTTTGCAGCGATCGACCTGAAGGAGGAGTACTTCATGTGTCGACCCTTCCGCACCACAGACCATTGCTGCGGTTCGCGTCCGAAGGACGAGCATATCAGTGCGAGGTCCTGCCCTCCGGGCTGTCCCTGTCATCCCGGGTCTTCACGTAAGTTGCAGAGGCATCCCTTGTTCCCCTGAGAGAACAGGGCATTCGCATTCTGAACTACCTCGACGACTGGCTCGTATTAGCTCAGTCTCAGGATCAGTTGTGCGAACACAGGGACTTGGTGCTCTCGCACCTCAGCCAGTTGGGCCTTCGGGTCAGCTGGGAAAAGAGCAATGGCGACTCCATCCCAAGACGGTCCAGCTGATTTGGAGATGTTTCGGAGCCGCTCAGGTAGACCTGTTTGCCTCTCCAGAAACCTCTCACTGCCAGTTGTTCTTCTCCCTGGCCGAGGGAACACTCGGCACGGACGCACTGGCACACAGCTGGCCGCGGGGCCTTCGCAA